TACTTAATTCGGCCAAGTCATCGTCCCTCACTGGTTTCTCCTCAGCAGCCAGAGGCCTCCGAGGAGAGGAGAGGAGATGACGAGGGCGAAGACGACGACGACGATGAGGAGGAGGAGGAGGAACAGGATGGGAAGGGAGGGGAGGGGATGTGTAGGAGTGACAGGGACCAAATTTGAGGGCGAAATGAGGAGTAGGTGGCATATCTTGAATGAAAACGCGCATTCATGGCAGATGTTTGCGAAATCTCGAGAGATTTTGACGTTTGCAACAGGTCCGTTTGTGATGGGGAAACAGCGAAGAGGGGAGAATGTGAGAGATTAGGTGCATGATTTGCCGACAACCTTGGAAGCCTTCTAGTTTCCTGTTCCTCGTCTTCTTCTTCATTGTTTGCATCGATGCTAAAGACGATGAATTTGTCAAACTGGTCGGTCTAGTCCCCGTCAGGTCACGCGGCATGTGCGTTGAATGCGTGCGCTCATGTTGTGAGCAGAGACGAGGCTCACCTGCTGCCGTCCTGCCTGCGAGCTCTTGCCAAGATTGTTCACGCCATCGTCGTTCTGGACGACTGCTCAGTCGATGGGAGTGCGGAGGTCGCGTACAGCCTGGAGGAGGAGTGCAGGATAGAGAGGGTGGAGCGATCAAGAACATGCAGGACCGATGGGGGATCAGGGGTCGTCCTGCCGTTCTGGGGGAGCGAGGCCGATCACAGAGCGTATCTACTGGTGATGATACCTTGTGTTGTGAAGGAGCTTGACAAGTAGGGAAGGAGCTTGGGAGGAGCGTCGGAGGAACTCACTTCCTTGCCATTGATGCGGATGAAGTTGTAAGACAGCAGGGCGTTGGAGGAGACGACCACAGTTCTGACAAGCGCTCCAGGTTGTCGTGGGAGAGGGAAAGATGGGAGAGATGAAGGAGTTCAGAGACATGTTCTTGAACTTGAAGCCAGGAGATCTATTGGTCCTCCACTACATCACCATGTTGTTGCATATTGGACGGCATGCAGTTTGTTCCGCTTACTCCTCTCTTCAGGTTTTCATCATCCAAGGAGTACCGAAGTGACAAGTCAGACTTCAAGGCCGTGGGGTTCGTTGACCAGCATCGTGCAAGGTGTTGTCTCAACACTCCTCACATCTTTCCCTTGTTCCATATCTCATAAATCAGCATCATTTCTGCTGTTATCAGACGTATCGCCTTTTGGCACCGTCATATTCATCAACAGAATTCAATCCCTTTACACGTACCAACTTTTTTCCATCTCTCACATGATTCAACCATCATCCATCTCTTACACCTACCTCACACTATCAACTTCCTCCTCCTCTCACTTCTTCCTCATCTCTGACATGCTCCCGGAAGATATCGCAGGAAGGCAGGTGATGACCCCTTACATACACAGAGGATACCTTTCTTCGAGCGTCCCGGAAAGGTTCTTACATGTTTGCTACTGCCACGTTGTCCTTTCGTCTCCTCAATCTACTTCTTGCAAGGTGTGGGAGTTAAGATTCGACCAGAAAACTCACCCGCCCTCGGTCGCTGTGAGTAGAAGTTTTCCTCCTGTTCTGCGGAACTCGAGCGATTTGTCTCCAGGTGCTCCATTTCGGGTTCAGCAACCTTGCAAACGCAAGGATGAAGAATGTCATCTACAACTTCTTCGACATCGTCTGCTGTAAACTTCCTGGAGTGTGTTTGTGATTGAGCAATCAGATCTCATCTACCCTGAAGACGAGAAGAGACATGAACGATGGGCTGGAAAGTCAGGTGATGAAGGGGAAAAACTGTCTTTCCATCATCCAGTCCCTCTGCTCTGATACCATCAGCCTGAATGTTGTTCTATCAATTTTGTTTCCTAACTATCGCATACCTTCTCAAATGCTCTCCTCCCCTCTCCTCCCCTCCCCTCCCCTCCTTCTCCTCTCTTCCTATCACCACATGTTTCTAATCTTGTCGCTTTGCAGGGTTTAACATCAGCATCGGAATCTTCGATCATTCAGACTCGTCTGGCTCGTATGCCCCGCCAATGGGAAAGATGCCTGCAAGGTAAAAATAACTTCCATGCTCTTATCTCCCTACCTCTCCCTCCTCCCTCCTCCTCTTCCTGCCCCCTTCCCTCTCTCTTCTTCTCCTTTCTCCTCCTTGCCATCACTCTTGCTCTCTTCCCTTACCTTCCCCTTCCTCCGTATCTATCGTTCAGCGCCTCTCCTCCTCCTCCTCCTCCTCCTCCTCCTCCTCCTCCTCCTCCTCCTCCTCCTCCTCCTCCTCCTCCTCTACCTTACCTTCTCCTCTACCTTACCTCCTCCTCTACCTCCCTCTCCGCGTCTTCCACTCAACATTTTCTTTAAGGTTGGAATTTCAACTTTGAAGCCTTCGAAACTCCTCAAGTGGCAGAGTGGCGAGAAATGCTGGTTGACTTCTAACCATCGCCCTCCCCCCCCGCCCCTCCTTCACCTTCCCCTCCTCCTCCTCCTCCTTCCCCTCCTTCTACTCCTACTTCCTATCCTTTTCATGCTCCTCCCCTTCCTTCTTGCTTCCCTTTCTCTAATCTCCCCATCCACTCGCTCCTCGTTTTCCCAACCCCCATCTTGCTCTGCCCCTCAGTCTCCTTTCAGATTCTCGCGTGGTTGAGCAGGGACGAAGGTCCTAGCAAGTTCAGCGGACTAAAATCTCTCGAGGTACAAACCCAAAACTCCTGCTCCTCCTCCTCCTCCTCCTCCTCCTCGCTCACCTATTCCCTTTCATTTTCCAGTCCTCCTCGCTCTTCCTAGGCTCCTATTTGATTCCCCCGCCGCCGCCGCCGCCCTCCCCCCTTCCTCCATCACCATGCTCCTGCTGCTCACCCTCCCCCTCCTCCCCACAGCTCCCTTCCATCTCCTCCTCCTTCCCTCCCCTCCTTCATCCTTTGCTATGGCCATCGCCCCCCGTCCTCGTCGACTTCCATCTGCCTCCTGCGCTAACGTCAAGCTCGCAGCTTCTTCGACGGCACGTCTTTTCCTCGCTCTCTCCTCTAGACGCCAAGAGGACGCGGGCAATGCTGGCAAGACTGGAGGGAGCAACTTGACCCAGCAGTCGGTCAGGAGCGAGGGGAGAGGAGGAGGAGGAGGAGGAGGAGGAGGAGGAGGAGGAGGAGGAGGAGGAGGAGGAGGTCGACAGGATTGCTGCCGATGTTAGCGGGGAGATATGTGAAGGAGACTGAGGGCACAGGGGAGAAATGTTTTGTTCCACTTCATTGAATTTTCAGAATCATGATCCGAAGTACAACCCCAATGCAAACATCGTACAATTGATGTTGAGGATGAGTGAAAAGATGTATCCTGAAAGAAAAAATTATTGAAAGAGCTGGAAGATAGAAATGGAGGAGAGAGGGAGGAGATGGAAGTCAAGGAAGGAAGGAACAGGAGCACAAGAAGGAGAGGCGCAGGAGCAGGAGCAGGAGCAGGAGTGGGAAGACGAGGAGGAGCAAGAGCAGGAGCAGGAGCAGGTGGTAAGCAGAAAGAAAAATTAACTCACCGACGAGGAGGAGGGCGACGGGGTAGAGGAAATATACACTATTCTCCAAGAAAGGAAGTGCTGTTGGATGGAAGCAGTAAGGAGAAGTAAAAAAGATGAAGGAGAAATGTCAATGATGACGATGATCTTGAGGAGGAGGAGGAGGAGGAGGAGGAGGAGGAGGAGGAGCAATCATAGGAGCAAAGGAAAAAGTTCAACAACAATCAACATTCTACACCTTGATAGCCCAAAAAAGTGATGTAATGGTAATATCTGAAGGAGGATCAGCGAGATTGTTGCAAACAGACGTTGACAAGCACGCACCCAAATGCAAACAGGAAGAGAGAATTCGAAACGAGAGTTGCAAAAAATCCTCCTTCTGCCATCCCTTCGGTCAGAACAGCTCGGAGAAGATAAAGAAAGTCGGTTACTGAGAAGTATCGGAAGAAGGAAAAACTGCAAGACATATAACATGAGGAAGCTGGAACCGAGGTCAGTGGTGAGTCAAGGTGTACAGCAACTTGGAGGATCATTACAGAGGAAAGAAAGCGTTGCAATGGATATCGAAAGCATACAACCATTCCACCTGCAGTCCCATGTTAGTTGCTACTTAGCCGATGAAAAATCCAGTCGTAACCTTCTGCTCCACACTGTGAAGAGTCCTGACCCTCAAATACTTGTTGGCGATGGCCCTGCAAAATCCAATCATTTCCTCGCTCCTCATCTTCACCCTCCCCTCCTCCCCATGTTCACCTTCTCTACCCTCCACTCTCGCCCTCTTCCGCCTATCTCCCCTTTCCCCCGGGGCTGCCATCCCAGCCTCCCTCCCTCCCTCCCTTCCCTCTCTTCCCTCCCTCCCTCCCTCTTCCACACCATGTAAGAGTCGCCAGCAGAGCTCCAACGAACAAGAAGTCGAAGCAAACAGCCCCAAGGACCTGAGGGAGGGGAGGGCAAGTGAGAGGAGGAGGAGGAACACATTCAACTTCCACTCACCAGCCTTATGAAGGCTCCAGGGTTTGTGACTCGGAACGCAATGGTGTATGCGACAGCAGCAACCAACAGGAAGAATATACACAAGACCTGTTCACGGCAATCAGCAAGCTCTACTCCAACAGCTGTAGAAAGGAGGATCAGTCACCGTGAAACCAGGGTCATCCCTTGCCCACTGGTTCTTCGTTTCTGCTCCCACAGGGTTACTAACAGAGTTCAGGAAGAGACGCTATCTCCTCACGCTTATGGAAGCACGTGTGCTTATAGACGCGCTTCGGGTCGATACACAACGTGACCATCTGCCACGACGCGTTCTCAAGGTCCATCTGCGAGTATTTTCTGCAACCACCGTCGTCAGAAGCTCGGCAGTTGCACAAAGTCAGCCTGACATGGCTCTCCTGAGATAATCCGGAATGAATCCGCTTCTATGACGATAGAGTCCAGGGGTTGGGAGCATTTCTGCAGATTTTCAGGACAGAAGGCGGAATGGATTCCTGCAGCAGGGGGTGAGGGATGGGGCAAGGGAAACTCTCCGACGCACTCCGGGGCCTGCAGAACGGTCCCTCACTGCCAGCGGATGATTCTTCGCCTGTCTCCAGCTCCTTTCCACCGCACTGCCATACAACGATCAACAAATATTCGGAGCGATCAGATAGAAAGGTGGAGGTCTAAAGTTGGAGTCTGTGACATGAACTTCTTTGTAAAATCAGGGAATACTTCTTCTGTCTCCTCTTCATCCATCTCTTCTCCTCTCAGACATCTGTTGCCAGTGAACAACAATTTCGATCGGTCTCCTCAACTCATGATCCTAGTTTCTGCTTCCCTGTCATAACCTAAATTCAACTCCCTTCAAATCTCTCAACGTGTCAAAAAAGATGTTGAACATCATACCTCCAATCTCCACTGCTGGTCCTGTCCTCTTTGGTCTGACTCATTTCAATGTGTGCCACTGCCAAAATATGCTCTCCACCAGCATCATATTCCATTGTTTCTTCTCCCCACTCCTTCACCCTTCTCCTTTGAATTTATCTCTCTCCTGACTCCACACTCCACTCTCCTCCACTCTTCGCTTCCCTCTCCTCTCCGCCTCCTTCTCCCCAATCTTCTCCTCCCATATCGTCTCTTCTTATCTTCTCTCCTCTTCCCTCCCCTCTCCTCCTCTCCTCCTCTCCTCTCCTCTTCTCTCCCCTCCCTCCTCTCCTCCCTCATTTCCGCCAGCTGCGCGCCACGAGTATTTGTAACGAGTCATGTAACGGTTGTTGAACATAAAACACGTAACGGTCATAACGCACAGCGCCGCTCGGCCACAGAGCCGTCGGCCGGGCCGGGCCCGCTGAGTCCCGGTCGGACGGGCCGGCCGATGAGCATTGCCGATCGATCTCAATTCACTCTGGCAGGCTGCTACTACTTGTGCCGGCGTGGCCCGGCCCGGTACGAGCCTGAAGCCCGGGCCAACTCGGAGTCCGAGTGTTTCCTTTAGTACTCAAAACGAGTACGAGATGATTCAAGATGTTCTAAGGACCTCTAGTCGAAGCACCCTTGTTTTTGTCTCCCACCCCCAGGCTTTCGTTGTTGTTGTTGTTGGAGGAGCAGCAGCAGTCCTCCTTCTCCTCCTCCTGGGACCCTGTCGCGCTGCTACTTCTGTTCGTTCTCCTTCTCCTGCCCCTGCCCCTGCTCCTGCTCCTGCTCCTGCTCCTGCTCCTGCTCCTGCTCCTGCTCTTCCTGAAGTCCTGCCGCGCTGCTCCTGCTCCTGCTCCTACTCCTGCTCCTGCTCCTGCTCCTGCTCCTGCTTAGCATCAGCTGACAAGGGCGAAGGCTCGACCTGAGGAAGCAGACGAGGCGAGGGTTAACAAGGCTGTAGGAGAGCAGCACGTAGCGCAAGGTAGAAGCCCCAGTCGATGCTCTCAGAGTAGGAGAGCAGGAGGGCAGCCGGCGACCGCGTCTGCCTGCTGCTGCCATGGCAGGGACGGAGAGCGTCGATGTGCATGTCGAGCCTGCAGCAGCAGCTGGAAGCGTCCAGGTCAGAGCCCAGCTAGAGACGGAGGTCAGCCGGGGAGGTATTGGCTTCTGAGCTGGTTTATTGACCGTTGGGTACAATCTGTGCTGATGGGTCTAGCTAGCGTCATCAGTGAGTTAGCGGCTGACACTAACCTTCTCCCACGATCACATGCAGCACAGCCCCCTCCTGCTCTCGCTCTTCCTCCTTCCCATCGTTGACTTCATCCCCTGCTGCAGCAGGGTCTTCATGCGACACGCGCGTCATCTGCTTGCGCTTCCTCGAGATGACCGAGACGGCGCTGAAAGCTTTGTAAGCGTCCTTGCACAAGCTGAGAAATATCATGGGCATCATGGAGACGAGTAGGCAGACGATGAACGTCTGGTTGAGGGTCTCCGGCTTCACCGTCCAGATCGAGGCCGCCAGGAAGGACAAGCAGATGCCAAAGTTGCCGAGAGCTGCGAGCAGCTGCGACAGCCAAGCGAGCCAATCCAGCTGAGGAGTGAAGGCGACGAGCAAGACGAGGTCCAGCAGCAGCAAGCCTGACATGATCCCCGTCCTCGTCTCGTCGACCATCGGCAGAGACACAGTCAAGGAGTAGACGACTCGCACAGCGATGGAGTACAGCCCATACCACCACGCGTGCTGGCAAACCTCCTCCAGCAGCGCTCCGAACCGCTTCACGTACAGCCATGACGCCAGCTGCCGGTCTCTCCTCTCGTCGATCTTCCACGACCCCCGCGCCAAGACAGCGCTCATCGCCTCAGTGACCTCGGTCAACGGCCTCGTCCCCAGCTGCCCCAGCGCCTCCCTGGCCTCAGCCCACGCGACTCGACGAGACCTGGCGGTCCACACGATGTCTGAGGCACGCCCGCGAGCCACCGAGTAGAGCATGGCAGCAAGCTCCAGCAGCAGCAGCAGCAGCAGCACCGCTCCCAACACAACGTACATGACACACCCGCTGCTCGTAGCTAGAGCAGCCGACAGCGACAAGCCCTGGACCTGAGTGACGGCCACCGGCAGCTCCCAAGCTAGAAACGGAGTCGTCAAGACCTCGTCCGAGAGCTTGCCCTCCCTCCAGTACACGTACAGCTTGCTCACAGACACTCGAAGCAGCGACGTGACCACCAGGGCCCCAGCACAAGCCACGACCGTCGACAGCAGCTCGTTGTCAGACCGCATGGCGTCGGCGCACCTGGGGTCGTTGAGGGAGCTGGGAAAGAGAGGGAAGAAGTAGTAGTTGGACCAACGGAGCTTGCTTGCGAGCGAGTCGATCTCCTGCGTGCCTGACCCTCCGGCGATCCGATCACTGATGGAGATGAACTGAGTCTGAAGGATCAGAGACAGCGCCAACGACCCGCTCCTCCCCGACGAAGCCGATGTCGATGCTGACGTGGACGCTGACACGGACGCGGACGCGGCGGTACCGCTGACCGAGGAGACGGCTGGGAGGGCGGCGGAGACCATGGCGCTGGTGATCATGGTGGTGGCAGCGACGGCGGTGGAGGAGGCGATGAGAGTAGAGACAGCAGCGACTGTCCTCGGAGCCAGCGATGAGTTGTCTGACCTGAGGGGCCTCGGAGTTGTGTCTACAGCAGGTGGAGGGGTAGTGATGAGGGGAGCTGGCGGGGTGGTGGAGACTGGAGCTGATAGCTTGACGGTTGACGATGCAGGTAGTGGTCCGTTGCTCGTCTGATCGCGGCAGGCTGGTAGCGTCAGCGGGAGATAGTCATAGTCATATTGTTGCAGCAAGACTTGTCCATGCATGTAGCGTTTGTACATGAAACCCTCAAGGCCATTGTAGAAAGCTTTCCACATGCGGTTGTAGCATAAAAGCTTGTGACTGCCTAGGATGTAGATGATACGAGGCGAGAAGTTGTTCTGCACCGATATGTAGGCGATGGGGTTGTCGTAGAGATAGATTGACATCCAATCTGAGTTTCCAAGCCCGCGCAGCTCCGCTACGTCAAGCATGACGAGTCTGTTGTTAGAGAGGTCCAGCTGTCGCACGTTGTCCAGGTTGTCAAAGGCTTCTGCTTCGATGCTCGAGATCAGATTGCCTGACAGATCCAACGTCCTCAGCCCTGACAAGGACCTGAAGGCTCCTGCTGGCACTCTCGTGATGCCGTCGTTGACTATGTGCAGCTCCGTCAAGCCGCTGAGGTTGCTGAGAGCAGCGACCGGTACAGCCGTCAGACCGTTGTGGATGAGGTAGAGAGACTGCAGGCTCGGCAGCTGGTCGAAGGTGCCGGGCGGGAGCTGGTCGAGGAGGTTGTCCTCAAGCCACAGGACTCGCACGCTCGAGAGCGAGCTGAGCATGCCAGCATGGATGAGCGACTGATCGAAGCCGAAGAGATACAAGCCGGTCAGCTGACTCAGCTTGTCCAGCAGCTCTCCAGCAGCGCTCTGATCCTGGTCGTCGTCAGACTTGCACAGCCAGAGCTCCAGCAGCGTCTCGAGCACGCTTGGCCTCTGGGCAGAGAGGGCCTTGAAGGCGTCGGAGTTGACACCCAGCGCTCGCAGGTCGGGCTTGTTGTCCAGCAGGCTGACGTCGAGCGACGTCAAGGGGTTGTGGTCCAGCAGGAGGTACCGGAGGCTCGCGAGAGAGCCGAGCCCAGCTGGCACCTCAGCCAGCCTGTTGTGGCTCAACCACAAGTACTCTAGACCCGCGAGGGGCTCCAACACTCCAGCTGACAAGCTGGTGAGCTGGTTATCGTCAAGCGAGAGGTTGCGCAAGCCGGTGAGGTTGTGAAGCGCTTGGGCAGGCAGGTCAGCGAGTTTGTTGCTGGAGAGATCCAACGCCCGCATGGCGTCAAGGCCGGTGAGCGCGCCTGCCGTGAGACTTGTCAAGTGGTTGTCATGGAGGTCCAGCGTAGCGAGGGTCGACAGGCCTTGAAAGGCTCCGGGCGAGAGGCGGGTGAGGCGATTGTGATGTATGGACAAGGTAGTGAGCCGAGCAAGGCCGGCGAAGGCTCCTGGCGACAAGCTGGAGAGTCGGTTGTTATGAAGAGTGAGGGTTGTGAGCGATGAGAGCTGGGCGAAGACGTCGGAAGAGATATCAGCGAGCTGATTGCTGTGAAGATACAAGGCTTCAAGGCTGACAAGCCCGTCGAGAGATCCGGGCAGGAGGCCGGAGAGCAGGTTGTTGTTGAGGTAGAGCTCCATGAGGTCATGGCAGTCATAGAAGAGGCTGAGAGCAAGGCTTGCAAGGCGGTTGCTGTGGAGATCCAGCCGCCACAGACTATCAAGGCCGGCGAAGACCGTCTCAGGTACGCTCGTCAGCTCGTTGTTGTCGAGATACAAGCTTCGGAGGCTGGCAAGGCCGGCGAAGACCGTCTCAGGTACGCTCGTCAGCTTGTTGTAGGAGAGATCCAAGGTCTGGAGGCTGGCAAGGCCGTCGAAGACCGTCTCAGGTACGCTCGTCAGCTCGTTAGAGGAAACATTCAGATACTGGAGACTAGCAAGGCCGTTGAAGACCGTCTCAGGTACGCTCGTCAGCTCGTTGCCGGAGAGATACAAGGTCTGGACACTAGCAAGGCCGGCGAAGACCGTCTCAGGTATGCTCGTCAGCTTGTTGTTGTCGAGATACAAGTATTGAAGGCTGGCAAGGCCGTTGAAGACCGTCTCAGGTACGCTCGTCAGCTCGTTGTCGTATAGATACAAGGTCTGGAGGCTGGTGAGGCCGGCGAAGACCGTCTCAGGTATGCTCGTCAGCTCGTTGAAGTCTAAGCTCAAGCTTCGGAGGCTGGCAAGGCCGGCGAAGACCGTCGCAGGTACGCTCGTCAGCTTGTTGTCGTATAGACCCAAGCTTCGGAGGCTGGCAAGGCCGGCGAAGACCGTCGCAGGTACGCTCGTCAGCTTGTTGTAGGAGAGATACAAGGTCTGGAGGCTGGCAAGGCCGTTGAAGACTGTCTCAGGTACGCTCGTCAGCTCGTTGTAGGAGAGATACAAGGTCTGGAGGCTAGCAAGGCCGGCGAAGACCGTCTCAGGTACGCTCGTCAGCTTGTTGGAGGAGAGATACAAGTACTGAAGGCTGGCAAGGCCGGCGAAGACCGTCTCAGGTATGCTCGTCAGCTCGTTGGAGGAGAGATACAAGGTCTGGAGGCTGGCAAGGCCGGCGAAGACCGTCTCAGGTACGCTCGTCAGCTCGTTGCCGGAGAGATACAAGGTCTGGAGGCTGGCAAGGCCGGCGAAGACCGTCTCAGGTACGCTCGTCAGCTCGTTGCCGGAGAGATACAAGGTCTGGAGGCTGGCAAGGCCGGCGAAGACCGTCTCAGGTATGCTCGTCAGCTCGTTGGAGGAGAGATACAAGGTCTGAAGGCTGGCAAGGCCGTTGAAGCCCGTCGCAGGTATGCTCGTCAGCTCGTTGTCGTATAGATACAAGGTCTGGAGGCTGGCAAGGCCGTTGAAGACCGTCGCAGGTACGCTCGTCAGCTTGTTGGAGGAGAGATACAAGGTCTGGAGGCTGGCAAGGCCGTCGAAGACCGTCTCAGGTACGCTCGTCAGCTTGTTGGAGGAGAGATACAAGCTCTGGAGGCTGGTGAGGCCGGCGAAGACCGTCGCAGGTATGCTCGTCAGCTCGTTGTCGTATAGATACAAGTACTGGAGGCTGGCAAGGCCGGCGAAGACCGTCGCAGGTACGCTCGTCAGCTTGTTGGAGGAGAGATACAAGGTCTGGAGGCTGGCAAGGCCGTTGAAGACCGTCTCAGGTACGCTCGTCAGCTTGTTGGAGGAGAGATACAAGGTCTGGAGGCTGGCAAGGCCGGTGAAGACCGTCTCAGGTACGCTCGTCAGCTCGTTGCCGGAGAGATACAAGGTCTGGAGGCTGGTGAGGCCGGCGAAGACCGTCGCAGGTACGCTCGTCAGCTTGTTGGAGGAGAGATACAAGTACTGGAGGCTGGCAAGGCCGTCGAAGACCGTCTCAGGTACGCTCGTCAGCTCGTTGTAGGAGAGATACAAGCTTCGGAGGCTGGCAAGGCCGTCGAAGACCGTCTCAGGTACGCTCGTCAGCTTGTTGTAGGAGAGATACAAGGTCTGGAGGCTGGCAAGGCCGGCGAAGACCGTCGCAGGTATGCTCGTCAGCTCGTTGTCGTATAGATACAAGGTCTGGAGGCTAGCAAGGCCGGCGAAGACCGTCTCAGGTACGCTCGTCAGCTCGTTGTTGTCGAGATACAAGCTTCGGAGGCTGGCAAGGCCGTTGAAGACCGTCTCAGGTACGCTCGTCAGCTTGTTGGAGGAGAGATACAAGGTCTGGAGGCTGGCAAGGCCGTTGAAGACCGTCGCAGGTACGCTCGTCAGCTTGTTGTTGTCGAGATACAAGTACTGAAGGCTAGCAAGGCCGGCGAAGACCGTCTCAGGTACGCTCGTCAGCTCGTTGCCGGAGAGAATCAGGACCCGGATGCTAGCAAGGCCGGCGAAGACCGTCTCAGGTATGCTCGTCAGCTTGTTGGAGGAGAGATACAAGTACTGAAGGCTAGCAAGGCCGGCGAAGACCGTCGCAGGTACGCTCGTCAGCTTGTTGCCGGAGAGACGTATTTCAGTCAAGCTCCAAGTGTTGTTGAAGACACCTTCGTCTATTCGTCGAATGCCAGCATAGCTCAAATCTACTGACGTACACGTTGTCGTGCAATTTCCTGTCCTTGTCAAGTTCCCATCCGCTGATACTCTGAAGGTACATCCCCCGCAGGACCTGCTCCATAATGCAGCGGCCGGTGTGGCATGCATCATGCATGTACAGAGAAGGAGCACCAACAAAAAGTCATCGTGAACGTTCCAAGGGGTCTTGTGCATCAGTGTCTCAAAAGATGGTTGTCGCATGGTTGCTTAGTAGTCACTTGTTTCTGTGCTTTTCCTTCTCTGTCTCTCTGTCTCTCTCCCACACACTCTCTCCCTCCCTCTCCCTCGCCCTCCATCTCTATCTCCCTCTCTCTCTCTCCCTTTGTCTGTCTGTCTGTCTGTCTGCCTGCCTGTCTGTCTGTCTGTCTGTCTGTCTGTCTGTCTGTCTGTCTGTCTGTCTGTCTGTCTGTCTGTCTGTCTGTCTGTCTGCCTGCCTGCCTGCCTGCCTGTCTGTCTGTCTGTCTGTCTGTCTGTCTGTCTGTCTGTCTGTCTGTCTGTCTGTCTGTCTGTCTGTCTGTCTGTCTGTCTGTCTGTCTGTCTGTCTGTCTGTCTGTCTGTCTGTCTGTCTGTCTGTCTGTCTGCCTGTCTGTCTGTCTGTCTGCCTGTCTGTCTGTCTGTCTCAGCTTCTCTTGTATCTTTCTCTTACTTTCTGTTCGTCACAGTCTTGTGCGTCTTCTTCATCCCTCTGCTTTTCCCCTGTGAGTTCTTCCGCCTGTCTCTGTTATGTCACCAACTCCCTACCCACCCCTCGAGCCAAAGGGGCTCTTTTAGTGGCTTCACCCCTGATATTTACTAATATAACACCCCTACTCGCTGTACCCTACCCAGTCTTCCATGACAGATTGGCAACGGCAGGGGTACTTGTCGCATGTTTAGAGGGTCCATGGGGTATAGGGAATTATAAGATTGTCCTAGTACTGATTTTAACTTAACTTTGAGTAAACTGTTCGTACTGACTTCCGAGTTGGGGGTGAACGGTTGTCCACTGTTTGATCCCTAAAAGTTTGAAACTTTGGGGGATTGTTGCTTACCTAAAGTTTCAAAGTTTTCCAGATAATTCAATAGTAAACCCAATCCTCTTTTCTCAAAGTTAAAAAGATCAGTACGAGCTAGTTGATGCCTTCCGGACGCCGGCGGCGGGGCCCGGCGGCCCGGGCCCGGTGCAAAAGCCGCTCAGTCCGAGTCATCAAGTTCTGCCGCCGGCCCGGCCCAGCCGGCCGGTGACTCCCGGCGTCCAAAATATGGTGGGTAGGGATGCATTGTGTTGGGGTAGTCATCCTCATGGGGTACATGATGTACCCTATGTGATCTACTGGAGATCCATTCATATGAAGGGGTATGTGCATTAGATGGGGGGTAGGGGGTACTTCAGGAGGGGTGTGTGCTAGGGTGGGGAGGATTTTGCTGTAAGAAGCGGCCCCCCCGCTCCGTCAATGCGGCGATTGGGATAGAAAGAGGAGGAGGAGGAGGAGGAGGAGGAGGAGGAGGAGGAGGAGGAATGAAGAAGGGGGAAGAGGGATCAAGGACAAGAAGACGAGGACGTGAAGGAGCAGAGCTAGTGAACTGCGGGGAAGAAGTGGATCAGAGGGACTTGAAGGAAGATGTTTGTCAGGAGAGGGTCTCAGGACCGTAGGAGGTATGAGGGAAAGCATGTCAACACAAAGGGGTCAGAGGTAGATTCGTCATGTTTGTCGTGCAAGATGCATGAAGCAACAGAAGATAGTCGATGGTTGACGACCGTACCATCACCCTGCAGGGGAGGGTTGAAAGGAGGACCCTTTTTGTATCTTTTCGATTCCATGGTCGCATGCATGATACAGAGAGCTCAACAACAGTCATACGAGGCTTCACTGACGTCTCGATATTTCTCTCGATGTCCAGGCGCGGCATCAGAGGCGCTTCTCAGCACGAGGACTGGTCGAATCAAGTTACTCTCCCTTGTTGCGCGATGCTCCTCCCTCCTCCCTCCTCCTCGCTCTCATTCTCCCTCTCTTGCTTCCTGCTCCTCTCCGTAATGACGAGCAGCGAGGCGTTCTCTACCCCTCTGAGCTTCAGAGGAGCTCAGTCGATGCAGGCGCGGACGTGGGCAGCGGGGCCAAACCTCCGTCCCCTCTCTCCCCTTCACCTCGGTCGTCAGCACAAGATCTCGGCAGCCAGCGTTGAGGTCCATCCTGTCCAACTTGGAGATGTTGGAGGCAGCGGGAACGGGAGGGTCGTGACGGGGTGGTGGGGACGGAGCAACGTGGGGGGCCCTGAGGAGGAGGAGGTTCGTTTCTCCTTGTCGAAAGTGAGCCGATTTGCAAGGGCGGGAATGCTGTCCGTCGGTGGAGATGCATGTGAGGAGAGGAGAGGAGAGCAGGAGGGGAGGAGGAGAGGAGGGGAGGGGAGAGGAGGAGAGGAGGGGAGGGGAGAGGGGAGGGGAGGGGAGGAGAGGAGGAGACTTCTCGGACTCGTTCTCATCCTTGAGCACAGGCTTGATCGCCAGCGGCCACAGGAGCAGGAGCAGCAGGGCTGTCACAGACTTCTTCTTGATCGTCAACGTGGTAGTTTTCTTGCTGTAAGTCAAGGAGGGGAGTGCAAGACTCCCGTCGCAGTGACTGGGGAGCGAACACAGTCAGCTTCTCACCCAAGGGGCTCTCCTAGAAGCCGGAGCCAAGATCACGAGCATGATCGTGTACGAAAGGCAGTGAGTTCCGATGATGATGACGTGGTTTGATCCGTGACCTCATGTTGGTTTTAGGTACTATCGGCTTCTCACTCCCATCTTTCTCCATGGCTCGCTCTCCCACATCCTCGTCAACTGCTTCTCCCTCAACGCGATAGGACCACAGGTCCCATCCTGCTCTCTGACTGCTGCTGCTGCTGCTGCTGCTCCTCCTCCTCCTCCTCCTCCGCCTCCTCCTCCTCCTCCTCCTCCTCCTCGTTTACGTGCCGTCAAGATCTCATAATGCTGCTGCTGCTGTTGCTGCTGCTCAACAAGTGCTTATTTCACTCAGGTTGAGAGATACTTCGGCACAGAGAGGACAGTCATCACGTATGCCTGCTGCTCCTGCTGCTCCTGCTGCTCCTGCTGCTCCTGCTGCTCCTGCTGCTCCTGCTGCTCCTGCTCCACTTCCTTCACTTCCTTCTTTCCTTTCTCCCTTGGCCCTGCTGCTGCTGTCTAAACCTGTGCGTCTTTCTCTCTTTCTCTCTCTGTCTCTCCTCTCTCTGTTCTCCTCACTCGTCTCTCAAACTATCTTCCCTTCTCAGGTATCTCCTCGCTGGAATCGCTGGGAATGTCGCATCCTTTTACTTTGGACCAAAGGAAGATTCTACTTTTCTCTTCTCTTGAATCCCTGTCCCTGTTTCTGTCCTTCTACTCTCCTCTCCTCTCCTCTCCTCTCCTCTCCTCTCCTCTCCTCTCCTCTCCTCTCCTCTCCTCTACTCTCCTCTCCTCTCCTCT